TAGAATCGTCCCAGAAGCAGTTGATCCAAAGCTTTTTCCAGGTTTGCTGCAAAGGAGTAACGAAAGTGGTGTCCTCTTTTTGTAGCTCTACAATGAAAATGATGAACTTATCGGTCTTTTGTAAAAGTACTTTTTTCTGTTAATGATTTCAATAGTTTATCATTTTCTTGATAAAAGATAAGATCTTACAAAAATTTTAGAGGCTCTTTTGGAAGATCAAGAGGGAAATAGCGTCCCGATACTATTACAAAGAGATGAGTTTCAATGAAGAAGAAACCGATGAAGAGACCCGTCATTCCATTTCTCGGGTTACTTGATCAAAAGGTGGCTTGACATTTTGCAAGTAAAAAAATAGAAAGAAATTCAGCTTTTTATATTTAAGGTTGCCAGTATGACATTTGGAATAACCGAATACCAAAAAATTGACAAAATCTTGTGGATCTCGAGTTCATATCTGAGAGGAACGATTACAGTAGAAAGGGTTGAGCGAATTTGTTGTTTTGTTAGAATTTGTGAGTTTTTAGGCTTTAGGCTATTTTTATTTGCTTTTGCACTATTGCCATTGGTAGCTCCCGGGTTGTTGTATTGATCTTAAAGTATTTTGTTTGATTTTAAGGTCTAGCTAAACTGTTGATAGACCATGGTTTGGAGAAAGCAAAAAGAAGTTGGATATGAGACCGACTGCTTCAAATGCTGGTGCTCTTGAGATCGCAAAAGGTGAGAAAAGGCTGGCAGGAGTTGGCAAAAGTGAACACTGGATGAGCCTCAAGTTTGATTGTTGAATTTGGAAGAGTTCACAAGTAGGCTATAAGATTCTATTAGGTTGACCAGTTCTAAATGCACGTTTTGGGGGCTTATTCAAATATTTCTGCAAGTTCACGTGTAGTTTTGTGAGTTTGTGGAGGATTAATTTCGATCACCTGCTTAAGTTACTGCATTATCGATCGTAGGGAGGCCGGTGGTCCTGATCTCCCAAAAATCGTTCTCTCCTTCTCGAAACCATCGCCGACACTGGCTTTCCGAAATAGCATCTTCCAAAATACTTTCAAAGGCCTCGATGAGGTTCAGCGATATTTTTGCCCAATTTGTTGAAGTCATACCAAAAGACTGGCAGAGGAGCACGAAACTTCGTGTAATCGTTCACAGAAATTAAATCTAAACACAGAAGTTAAATCTAAAGCAGACGATTAGGTCAAAGAGTGGACATCAAAAGCACGAAAAGTTGTAATAAAAAATATGAAAAGAAAAGAAAGAGTTGCAATAAAGTAAAAAGAAAAATGATGACTTATGCCAATAAGAAATCTGAGACAGCACTATAGAAGAGTGGGTTTGATAAAATTGTAAAGCTCTAGAGATGCTGAACAAGTTGTTCAAACAGCGAGCTGCATTCATAACTGGACAACCTAATACAGTGAGAGAGCCAGAGGAAGAAAGTCGCAAGTGAAAACTTTGCTCCAAAGTGGAAGCTGAGACACCAACTGGACAACCCACAATAAATATGGTTTGAAAAGGGAAGCAGATCTTCGTATCACTTATCCAGTTTCTTATCCGGTTTCTTATCCAGTTTTCTGACCTCAATCCAGTTTTCTTGCCTTCAAGCATAGAGTTTTTAAGGTTAAGCAGAGTGCTGAAACCATCTTTAGAAGCACATTTGTTTCTTTTCTTCTTTCTTTTCTTTCTTTTCTTTTTCTTTTCTTTCTTTTCTTTTCTTTTTCTTTTCTTTTTCTTTTTTTGCTTTTCTTTTTCTTTTCTTTTCTTTTCTTTTTTTCTTTTTCCTGAATCTAATCTTACTGCCCATTTCAGCTCTTTGAGAAGTCTTGGTTTCGTGATTCTCTGCGAGGGTTTTCACACTGAATTTCTCTGAGCAAAAATGGTCATCAACTTTTTGAAAATGTTTGGAGTGAAACAAAAAGCAATCAATTGGTATTTCGTTATTTGTGATTTTTCAAGTAAAAATGATTATTCTTTCTTAAAACAATTCAAAAAATAAAACATCTACACATTTACAATTCCAGAAAAAATCATCGCTTACGAAACAATTATCAATCTTACTCTCTTTCCCACAAGATCCTTAAACGTTTTCATTTTTCGATTTTCTATAAACAAAGAGAAAGAAATTTTATCCACTTGAAATGTTCATTTTTGAGAAAAACTGGATGATTGATAAACCAGTAATGGGGAAGAGAGAATTTGAACGATTTTTTGCCAAATCGAGCTTGTCGCATCGGGAAAAATCCATATTTTTGTCAGAAGAATCCCTAAGGTTCCTCAAAACTTATAATCTTGTGACCGAAAACTTTAAAAATGCTGCTTTTATTGACGTTTTCTTGATTCCGACTGTGTTGGCGGTTTGGAATGCCGGGCGTGGGAATGGGTGATTCCGCATTGTGGTGGTGTTATTTGTGGTTGTTCGGTGGCACAGCTTCTCTCAGCTATAAGCTACTAACTATTCTTCTTCAGCACCTCTCTTCCTTCCTTCTTCTCCTTCTCCTTCCTTCTTCCTTCTTCTTCTTCCTCTTCTTCTTCTTCTTCCCCCTTCCTTCTTCTTCTCCTTCTTCCTTCTTCTTCTTCTTCTTCTCTCTCTTCCTTCCTTCCTCTTCTCCCTTCTTCCTCTTCTTCTTCTCCTCTTCTTCTTCTCTTCTTCTTCCTCTTCCTCCTCCTCCTCCCCTTCCTCTTCCTTCTTCCCTCTTCCTTCCTTCCTCCTCTTCCTCCCTTCCTCCTCTTCTCCTTCTCCTTCTTCTTCCTTCTTCTTCTTCTTCCTTCTTCCTCCTCCCCCTTCCTTCCCCTTCCTTCCTTCCCTCTCTCTCTTCTCTTCCTTCCTCTCTCCTCTTCCTCCTTCCTCTTCTCTTCTCCTCTCCTCCCTTCTTCCTCTTCCTTCCTCCTTCTTCTTCCCTCTTCTTCCTCTTCCTTCCTCTTCCTCCTCCTCCTTCTTCTCTCCCTTCTCCCCTCCTCTCCTCCCTCCTCTCTTCCTCCCTTCCTCTCTTCCTTCCTCTCTTCCTCCTCTTCTTCTCCTCCTTCTCCTCTTCCCCCTTCCTCTTCCTCTCCTTCCCTCTTCTTCCCCTTCCTTCTTCTTCTTCCTTCTCCTTCCTCTTCCTCCCCTCCTTCCCTCCTTCCTCTCCTTCCTCCTTCCTCTCTTCTCCTTCCTCTTCCTTCTCTCCTCTCCTCCTCCTTCCTCCCCCTTCCTCTTCTTCCTTCCCTCCTTCCTCTCCTTCCTCCTCCCTCCCTTCTCTCTTCCTCCCTTCCCCTCCTTCCCCCTCCTCTCCTTCTTCTTCCTTCTTCTCTTCCTCTCTCCTTCCTCTTCCCTCTCCTTCCTCTTCCTTCTTCTTCCTTCCTTCCTCCTTCTTCCTTCCTCTTCCTTCCTTCTTCCTTCCTCCTTCCTCCTCTCTTCCTCTTCTCTCTTCCTTCTTCCTTCCTTCTTCTTCTTCCTTCCTTCTCTTCCTCTCCTTCCTCTCTCTTCTCCCTTCTTCTCTTCTTCTTCTTCTTCTTCTTCTTCTTCTTGTTTTAATCGTTTCTTGGGGTTTCTCCTTTCAGTTCAGAACCTAGTCAAAACCCAAAGCCAGGAAAATCAAGGAAACCTAGATCGGCGCTTTGTTTCTGGCCCAGAACTATAAGCCCTGTAAGCCCAGCAGATCAAGGAGCCAGAGACAATGTAGCAAACATTTTTCCGGTCAAGAGCAAGTTAAGTTCAAATCTGTCCTGGGCTTAACTTTGCTGCTAGCCAGGATTCAAGGCCAGGTTCCACTAACAACAAGACATTTCAGAACCCCCTCCCCCACCCAGCCAAGGAGAGCCGCAATTTGGGCCAGGCCGAAGCGACTTCGCTAACGGTCCTCCACAATCAAATTTTCAGCCGGAACCACTGGGTAAACTCAGATATCAAATCTGGGCTAGTTTAGTTAGCTTTGCTGCTGGCCAGGATTCAAGGGAAGGTTTCACTAACAACAAGACATTTCAGACCAACCCCCTCCCCCACCCAGCCAAGGAGGGCCGCAATTTGAGCCAGGCAGAAGCGACTTCACTAACGGTCCTCCACAATCAAATTTTCAACCGGAACCACCTGGTAAACTCAGTTATAAAATTAAAGCTCTTATTTTATTTCAGTTCCTCAGCAAACTTTCGCCCACAACAAGGAGCGCCGATGCAGGCAGATTTTGGTGGAGGAAGTCCTTTTGATAATCAAGTACCTTTAGACTTTTACTGTTTCTTTAAAATTATGAAATTTAGAACCGACCACCGCCTGACTACGGTAATATGGGGGATTATGATGGGTGAGTTATTGAAGTTATTGAGTTGTTCAGTTTTCTATGAAAAGTACTGTTTTAGGGACGACGGTGCTGGTCCGGCCGGTCCTCTGTCTCGATATTTGTCCCCGGTAAGGTTTTTCTGATTCCTAAGACTTACTCTATGTCTCATCAAGTTTTTTAGTTGAGAAGATTCTTTAATCCGATCACAAGACATCATTTTGTACATTCTGACCCAGTTGTCATGATGAGAAACATCGGTGGAACGGGAGCACCCACGCATTTCATCATTCCAGTGCCAACGTATAACAGGTATCAAGGCCAACTTATCATTTTTATCTGATCGCCTAGAAACCAAGAAGTAATTGATCAGCTTTGCCCGTTCTTGGTTCGATTGCATAGTATGAAGATGGGTGGAGCTCAGCTACTTGTCCTCGAATCCATTCCAACATCGACGTGGGAAAATGATGGGATGGGTAAGGGTTAAAGAAGGACATTTTTAAAGAAAGCTGCTCTATATTTCATCCGGTTTAATTACCCAAATGTGACCCCAAATCCCAGGCCATATGCCAGAAAGCTGCGATTACAAAAATGTGGAGATTTTCGAATCCGGCTGCTCGCAAACGGTCTCTAGAGATTTAAGACAGAACCCAAACCTGGTTTTGCTCTGTTTTCCTTTTTTTCTCCAATTTGGTTTAATTACCCAAGTTTTTAGAGTTTTGTGATGACTTGGAAATTAAAGTTACTCAAAAACTAACAACGGATACAGATTCTCTATTCCAGAATGCCCCTGGTTACAATTTTTCAAATCTAACATAGATAGCTGTCGTCTGAAAAGACAAAAATGCTCTTTTCGTGAATGTGTTACGACTTTAATTCATTTTCACACTCGGTTTAATCGCCCAACTTTGCTTTTTCAGCGAGACAACGCTCCAGCGGGAATGTGTTCAAAAGTCAGAGGCGCCTGTGGTTGGTTTTGTTTTTGAACAGCTAGGGAGGTGTTCTAAAGCCGGTTTATTGTTCTAAAGCTCGTTTAGTGTTCTAAAGGCAAGGCCAAGATTCTGGTTTGGCCTTTACCTAGTCTAGTCGAGGTTCCTGACCTCTAATTCTAGTCTAGTCGAGGTTCCTGACCTCTAGTTGGACTTGGTTTTGCCAACTCTGCAGCTAAACTTGACCATAAGATCCCGAGTGTAACAATTTCAGGAGCTAATGTCCCAATTGTGGCCGCAAGACGGATAAATCTTGACCCAGACTTCATCCATTTCGTCACTCGAATCGAAATGAACCAATATCTGATGACCCATCGAAATTTTGTCCCCTCTGGACGAGGGGCGATTTGTTGGGTTTGGCGATAAAAATTTGATAATAAACAAAAGATCATTCACTGAATACATTTCAAAACTTCCTAATCAACAATTCTAAACTCCTAACTACAAAAACAGCCTGTTCAGCCAATAGAAGAGTCTATTTTGAGTCTATTGAAGGTTATAAAAAGTGAAAGCGAGACCGAGACAGGCAAAGTTTAGCGGATATGTGATCTTTTTTCTTTCTTTAATTTACGAGCTCTCAACTTCCTGTTTGAGAAAGAGAAATTGTTGTTTTGATATTTGGAAATTGAGCGAAGTGTACCTAAGAAATAAAGATACGAGGCTATCATGTAGTTTAGTAAGATCTAGGATTTGTATTGTAGTTTAGTAAGATCTAGGATTATTGTATGGTAGTTTAGTAAGTTGTTTAGAGTAATGGTAAGGATTTTGATTGAAAATGGAACTTTGAATATGGATATTGGATGATTAGTTGATAATGATTGGATAGGAGGCTTTATGACCCAATTGCAAAATTGATTAAGTTGCAAAACTAGATCAACGATTGATAATAGATCGACATTTATCGAATTGTATCAGATCTGTGAGAAATAAAGAATCTAGTACTAAAGCCTAATGAATAAAGTAAGTAAAAGTGTCAAGAGTAACACAAAAGAGATTGAGATTGTTTCCTTATCCTTATCTCTCTTAAATTTGGTTCCTTTTCTCTCTAGATTTGGTTCCTTTTGACCAAGTAAAGTACCTTAACCAAGTATCTTAACAATTGAAGATCTCTGGAACAGGATCTTTGGTATGGCTATGAGTTTAGAATCAGGCTTCGGGTTTAGAATTAGGCTATGGGTTTAGAATCAGGGGTTTAGAAAGAAATCAAGATGATTTCAAGTTTATCTTTTAAGCCTCAGAACGTAACTTTCTGAGGTTTTTAAAGTTTTAAAGAAAGCTTTTAACTTGACTTACGAGAAGGACTTGTTTCACTCTCTGGATTCACTTTTTCTCTACCCACAAACCCATTCTTGTCAAAAGATCCTGTTCTCCTGTTCTCCTGTCCTCCGGAGATCTTTCAATCTTCCTTTTTTTCTTTTTCCATTACCCATTTCATTTCAAGACCTTCCCTCTTTTCCTCAAATGAAATCATTCTAGCAACCTCTCCTAGTTCGATCCTTCAGTCCGATCTGCAGTCCATTCGCTAAACTTTTCTCTTTCTCCCACATTGCCAAAACGCATTTCCTGCTGTTGAGATCTTGATAAGTCTTTGCTCGATCAGTGATTTCAATCATTTCTCGAAAAAAATGCTACATAAGTTTCTTTTATTCAGCTTGATATTGATATGCTTTGGTGAGTGCTTCAATTTTACTAAATTTTAGTTCATAATGAAGTTGAAATCATATAAAATCAGTACTCGAGTAATCAATGAATACTCGAGTTTCATCCAAGTTTAAAATCAAAGTCATAAGTCAAAAGTTAAACAAAAACTCACCAGTTAAGTTTATCACAAGTAAAGAAAGATCAAGACAAGAATCAAGCCGGTTTTTCCTTGATATTATCAAAGTTCTTGAATTTTAGAACTAGAATAAACTAGAGCACGTGCTAATGCTAGAGCACGTACTAATGCTTAAGAGTAACTTTAAGCTCAATTCAAATCCTCCTCAAACGCTCCTTTAAAGCTCTTTAAGGGTCCTTTAAAGCTCCTTTATAGTTCCCCCTTTAGTTCCTCCAAAGCCCCTTTAAAGCTCCTTTAAAGCTCCTTTAAAGCTCCTTTATAGTTCCTATTTAGTTCCTCCAAAGCTCCTTTAAAGCTCCTTTAAAGCTCCTTTAAAGCTCCTTTGAAGCTCCTCAAACGCTCCTTTAAAGCTCCTTTCAAGCTCCGCAAACGCTCCTTTAAAGCTTTAAAGCTAGAGCACGTGCTAATGCTTAAGAGTAACTTTAAGCTCAATTCAAATCAAAATCCTTTATCATTTATTCTTTGTATCCTGTCTAGATGTATGTTTAACTAATTAAAAGGTTACTAAGATTAAATTGACTAAGATTGAGATTTGTACGTTTTCTATTAGATCTTCAGAGTTAACAATAATCTCTGCTCGCCATCATGGTGGTCATGGAGGAAGCCATCATCACAGCCATCATCACAGCCATCACTGGGGAGGAAATCACCACTGGGGAGGACATCATCATTGGGGTGGTGAGTGCTTATAATATAAGCTTATAATCTCTAAATAGAAAATATCAATTGAATAGATTAGCTTTAAAATTTCCATTATTTAGGTCATCATTTCCATCATCATCACCATCATGGCGAGTTAGAGCCCTTAGAAATTCGGTTCTTGGTGGTAGACATGGGAAAATTCGAACCCTCCTAATTCCACCTTCGTTTTCTCAGCCCTCTTTTGGCCGATTACTCTGAAATTGTGACTACAGATAGAAATCGACATTTTCAATTTGTAGACAAAATTTCAGAGCAATCGATCAAGAAATGACCGAGAAAATGAAGGTGGAATTAGGTTCGGGTTCGAATTTTCCCATATAGTGGTAGATACATCTAACAAAATCGCTAAATACGTTAAAAGCAAACTATCGAGTATTGATTATAGGTGGCTACCATCACTACGGTGGCTATGGAGGAGGGCACAATGGAGGATACAATGGATATTATGGAAGAGGTAAACGATTAGATGACAGTTCTGCTAGAGTTGCATATTAACGGCAAAGTTACGAAAGTTTCTTTGCTCCGTTAATATGCAAATTGATCTTTAACATTTTACTTCATTGAATCTTAACATGTTTTCTAGTTTTGATTTAATTTTGAATAGGTTTAAGTTAGAATTAATAGCTTAATAAACTTAATAAAGTCATTTATACTATTTTTCTCTTATCTTTACCAAACTAAAACATGGGAAATTTATTGGGTTGGTGAATCGTAAAATGCCGGACTTTGAACTAAAATTCATTCAGAATAAAACCATCAATTCATCCCAAATAATTTCCATTATTATTGACGACTTCTGCCCATTTTACAGGCAATTTGCGGATTCCTCTTTCGTAGTAGGATTTTGGTTTTGAATCGAAAAACTTTTCGAGCCAATTTTTGACTGCTTCTTCCGAATCGAAATGTTCTCCCGCAAGCTTGCTCATGGTCCGGAATAAATAGTAATTAGAAGGGGCAAGGTCCAGACTGTATGGGGAATGCGCCAAAAGTTCCCAACCAAGGCTATTTATTTTAGAGCTAGTCAGTTTTGCAACATGAGGGCGCGCGGTGTCATGAAATCGAGTAACTCTGAAAAAAATCAATTGCTTCATCGAGAGTTCAGCTCTAAAACAAATATCTAATACTATTCTATTAGGAAATCCTATAGCTCAGCTAGATTGAAGGCTTAAAACTTTACACAACTTGAACAATTTGTCTACCTTTTCTCTTACTTTCGCTTACAATCTATTGGGTTGGTGAATTGAAAACTGCGGGACTTTGGGCTAAAATTTATTCAACATAAAACCATCAATTCATTCCAAATAATTTCCATTATTATTGACGACTTCTGCCCATTTTACAGGCAATTTGCGGATTCCTCTTTCGTAGTAGGATTTTGGTTTGTGTGTGAGACAAGTGTGAGACTCAAAAATGGAGGACTGGAGATGTCCCAGTTTGTGCACTTTCTTCGAAAGAAACCCATTTTGGTGTCAATAGAAAAGTTGTAGAGAATCAAAAATTAGGCTTATAGCCAAATTTCCAAAAAGATCCACTTAATAGTTTCGCTTAAAATACAAGTTTTGTGAAAATTCATAAATTTGGCATTTCTTGAAAACCAGTTTTTGAATCGTTCTGAAAATTTGGATATAAGCTTAATTTTTGATTCTCTACAACTTTTCCATTGACACCAAAATGGGTTTCTTTTGAAGAAAGTGCTCAAACTGTCACATATGACAATAGCCCGCAGTTTTCAATTCATCAATCCAATACATTGATCCTGTTTTGGCTGACGGACAAAGATACGGAAGTACTTTCTGCTTTTACAGTTTGACTATAGATCAAAGCATTCAAAATTTCATTAAAGGAATTTAAATTCTAATGAAAAAACACATAACTGTATCAAATCGTTGGAAAAGCCTTTTCGGACTCCTTGTTAGTCAGAATCAGAGCCAATGCATTAAACTTATTCACAAACCGGCTATTCAGTAGCCAGATTTTGACAAAATCCGGCTACTAAATAGTCAGCTTTTGTAAGTTTGTTAATGAACTCTTTTGCTTTTGATTATCAAGGTTCACAAGCCTTTTATAGTCGATGCTTTGTTATATTGACTATTTACAAAGCAAGGTAGTCGCTTGTAAAAGTTTATAGTATTTCAATGAGTCAATTATAGTTTTCCTTAAGTTTCACCGATTAAAAGACGTATTTTTCAGGATTCGGTGGCCTAGGCCTACTTGGACTTGGATTGTATCGACCCTATGGTGAGTGTCTATCGGTTATTTTCATAATAGCTAACCATTAGATTGTGCGAAAATTGATACACGCCTTTTGCCATTGGCAATCTAACTTTGAGCTTAAACATCTTGGTGTTGGGCTGTCCAATTTAAATATTCTTGATACATTAGATGAGCCAAGTCTTTATCTATCGGTTGGTATAAAAACTATTTAAATTGGAAAGCCTAATATCAAGATATTTGAGCTGAAAGTTGGATTGCCAATGGCGAAGGGGGCGGGGCGACGGACATCTGACAAGCCCCGCCCCCTTTGCTATTGGCAATCCAACTTTGAGCTCAAATATCTTGGTGTTGGGCTGTCCCATTTCTCTTTTCTTGCTATCATTGGATTCGCGAAGTCTTTCTCTGTCGATTGGTATAAAAATTATTCAAATTGGACAGCGAAACACCAAGATATTTAGGCTCATAGTTAGATTGCCAATGGCAAAAGGGGCGGGGCTTATCAGATGTCCGATAACCAACCTTCAGGATATGGATACGGCTCTGGATATCGTTATCCATATTATTCTGGATACTATGGAGGATATCGACCATACGGAGGCTACTACAACTATGGGAACTATGGAAACTATGGATACAACAATTACAACTCCAACTACAATAATTATGGATACAATCCTTATGGAACGTGTCAAGGTTAGTCTGTGGTGCGGCTAAGAGCTAAAAGCTGTCTTTCAAGTTTCAAGTTGCCAATCTAATAGTAAAAAAGTAAAGTAAGGAATGGCAAAGAAAGATTTCCGGAGAGGGGATTGAAACCGCGAGCTTTTTGCTTTCCGGGCAGGAAAGCACCTGAGCTCTCGTTTACCTGAGCACTGTTCTAATCACCTGAGCCATTAGGTATCTTCTACCATTCGGAGAAGAAAGAGGAAATACAAGGTGGAAGAGAAAGGAAGAGTGAGAAGGAAATACCCGGTTCTTTATGGTTCTTAAGTTTACCTGAAGTTCAGCCAGATTAAATCATCAAGTCAATCAAAGTCACCTAAAATTCCCATATTTCAGTCATGAGCATCACTGGAACCACATATTTATGCTATTGCTCAAATGGACAATATTACAATCAAATTGGTGGATGTCCTGGTCAAACGACAGCGACGATTCCTGTTGGGAAATGATTGAAATGTTTGATCTATTCTTTTTCAAAGCTTTACATTTGAATGTGCAAGAAATAAAGATTAGAAGTCCTTTTTTGGGAAATAAACAACCCGTATCAAATTTTATTTGGATTTTAATTGAACAAATTGGATTTGTGAAGTTAAATGCAAGTAAATCAAAAAGAAAAGTAAAACAAAACAAAGCAAATCAATCTTTTTAACAAAGCTAAGAAGCAAATTTTTGAATTTTTGAGTTTTTTGATTTTTTTGTAGCTTTTTTGATAGGCTTTTTTTTTATGATATATACAAGCGAAAAAGTTTTGAGAAAAACAGAAAGACAACAAAAATCACAATTCTTTGAATCAAACCTTTAAGAAAGTGTACTCATTAGTTGCAATTTGTTTAATTTCTAGAAATGGGGCTTTAAAAATGAAGGCAAGAGAGCTAAAAACCTAAAAACATTCCTGAGATTGTTGAAAAACGTTGAAAATTGTTGAAAATTGCTGAAAGTTGTTGAAAAACGTTAGCAGAGCTACTGTACCTGTAACTTATGACTCTTCAGCAGGATTTTGCGCGTGAACCAGGATAAATAGAAACTGTTTGCTTGTTGCTGGCTGGCTTATAAGAAAATGGTCACAGCTCAAAGTTGAGAATCGATTCGAGGATTTTATAAAATCAGACAAACTGATTTTCAATCAGCAAAAATTAGCTGCGGATATTAAGCATCTAGAGAAATGCAACGAATCTGGCATCGGAAATTCGCTTAGATTTCGAACTCTTTATGAGGCCGGCACAAGAAAGCTTTCCAACAGATTTTGTGGTGTTTTCAACGGGGTTTTGAACGGTTTCAGTGGTCTAGCGGATAGTGAACTAGTCTACGGAACCTATAAAGTCTTTGGCTTGGGTTCAAATCCTCCCCTAACCAATTCTTTTTCCTGTTTTGAATAATGGTTATAAAGCCACTGAATTAGGTAAAAATTCTGATCCAATTTTTTGGATCAGAATTCCAATTTTGGACTCCAATTTTGGTCAAATTCAGTGCGTTCTTCAATGGGAATAGTTAAGGCTTCTGTTTTACGCAACTGCGGTAACTACAGTAGCTCTGTTACAATTTTCAGCAAGTTTACGGTGAATTTGTGGGTGTAAAAGAAACGGCTGGTGGGGCCAAGAGATCATCTTTGTCGAAAACTGGAGACTCGTCGCCGCTCAGCCTTGCTAGAGCTGTAGTGTTCCAAGTTGGCCTAGCCACTCTTGAATCAGACTCTAAAATCCTCAGCAAACTTCTTGAACCACCAAATCTCTCAATCTCAGCGAGAGTCTCTTTTCGTATCTTTTGTATCCTCGTCTCATGATTCATTTGCAATTCGAGCCTCTCGTATTTCACCTGAAATCAAGATTTACTTTGCCAACATCTACAACTTTGTTTTTTACATTTACATTTACATCATTTACATCAATCATTTACAAGATCATCCTATTTTTGACTCACTTACATTGCACTCTATCAAGAATGGATCCTTTAGACAACTTTCGACGATTGGTCGATCCTCAGGTCTCCGCTCAACCATCGATTTCGTTAATTTTGTGAAGTTGGGTACTAAATTGATAAGTTTGCTGAATTCAAGCAAAACCTACTGCTGATTGCTCCCCAATCTTTCTCAACTCTGCTTGGCCATCCATTAGAGATTTGACCAAAGTTCTTGAGCACAGTCTTGATTTGTTCCAAGACAACTTTCGCTGGTCCGTTTTGGGCAATCTGAAAGTTTGGTTCTTCTCGTAAATCCGATTCTTTGCATTGTGAAAAGCTATCAAAATTTAAAGGATATCTAAAGGCTTTTTTGGGACAGCTCCGGGACAGTAAAGTGACACAATTCTTGAGATCTCATGCTGCTTTTAGATCTAACAAGGGAACGTTCAGAACCGACTGACATTTCGAGGCGAAACTTTGGCACACTGGTAAATCGATTATGAGGATTCTAAATCTGTAACCCATTTTTGCTGACTGATCTTGGTTTTCGAGATATAAGCGTGCAAAGTTTTGACAAATTGGGTCAAACTACCATCTTTTCTCCATCAAACTACCATCATCTACCATCATCACCATGATGAAGGCAAGGACGAGCAGCGGCGGTCTAGTGGGTAGTACGCTAGTCTACAAAACCTATGACATTTTTGTTCGCTCGTTCAATTCCGCCACCCAGCCTAATTTTTTTCTTTTTTTTTGCAATTTATTCTCGCTTCACTTTTCTTTTTTCTTTTTATCATTATATTTATTTATTTCTTCTACAATTTTTTGGGAATAATCGACGAGCGCGAGATTTGAATAGTTGCGCATCAATAGGCAAAGGATAACTTCTGGTTCTTCTGGTTCTTCTGGTTCTTCTGGTTCTTCTGGTTCTTCTGGTTCTTCTGGTTCTTCTGGTTCATCTACAATGAGATGATGAATTATGTTTTGTTCATTTTATGAAAGAGCTTTATCTCTGTTCAATCAATCAATTTTTCAATTGATTGATTGAAGATCAATGTTTTTTGTAGGCCTAAGCCTTCCCTTGCAAGCCTAAGCCTTCCCTTCTAAGCCTATAAATAAATTGGATAAGTAAGATACGTTTTACATCGAAAACAAGAGAAAAAAGCTAAAAATTGAAGACATTTTAGGATCTCCAAAAAAGATTTTCTAGAATTTTGCAAAAAAGTAAAAGATTGGGGTAGGTGGCGGAGTTGAACGCGCGAGCAAAAACGTCATAGGTTTTGTAGACTAGCACACTAAAGCGCCGCTGTTCTTCCTTCCCTTCGTCATTGTGCCCAAGATGACAGTTTGGCAAAATTTGTCAAAACTTTGCACGCTTATATCTCGAAAACCAAGGCCAATCAGCAAAAACGGATTTCAGATTTGGAATCCTCGTAATCGATGTACCTTTGTGCCAGTGTTTCGCCTCGAAATGTCGGTCGGTTCTGAACGTTCCTTTGTAAGACTTTGGTGTATAAGTTCTACAAAACAGCCTAGATCCTCTAAATCATTCTGATTCATTTCCCTCACTTTTTCTGCAATCTCTTCCACACTCCCGATTGGCATGAAAAGTTTGACCCCAAGAGATTCGATTGCGATTGTCCCAATAGCCCAAACATCAGCACAGCTGCTGA